ATGGCCCGATTGGTTGTAACAGATCACTCAGGAGCTTAAAGCTGGAAAGCTGTTCATCTCTCCTTGAAAGCCTTTAAAATCATGCATTAACCGCTTGTTTTCCATATCTTTTTTGGTTTGATGTTTATAAATGCTGTTCTGTTGGCTGTATACTTGTACTTGTGAACTCATTTAAGGATGAAAATACTCAGTTTATACTTTTGCTCATTTTGATTTGCAGCTAAGAGGTTAGACCAGAAGAAAATGCATACATTTGATATCATAGCATTTTTGCTGAATCTTACTGCAGGTCCAGTTCTCCGCCATTGTTGTCACGTGCCATTGAGCCATCTCCAATTTATGGTGACTCTGTGAATCCCTAAATGCCCTCCAAAATGCCCTGCCACTGACAGCCCTGCTCAGCTCATGTAAACTCAAGGCTGAAGTTTGCTGCATAGGAGGAAATAACTTGCTTGTATAGGACAAGCTCACATTTGTTCTCAATGATGCTGCCACCTTGACCTTAACTAACTTTTTTCTTATATAGGACGAAATTTGCTCTTCCTGGCAGATTAATCCTTTTGGTATAAGCTGAACACAAATACCAATCTACTGCACTTTGAAAGCTTGAATAAACCGAAATGTTTTGTGCAGGAAAAGCAGTTTTCAGCACAGTTTTTGTTCTTCCTCATCCCAAAGTGGAAAGGAACCACTTATGTATTCACGCTGCAGTACTGTCAGAATTATTCTGGATTAAATGGATTGTGGACAGCACAGTCTAAACTGTTTAACAAAACAGGAAATAATCTTGTGTCATGAATATTTCAAATATGATAGTTTAGAATGTCATTATTTGTGAAGTTCTCATAATCTTTGTTTTGGTCATATCCTCTGGTCAACTTGTAGTACATTTCTCCAATCAGTGCCTTCCAGATGTGTTATGGCATGCGCATTTGTCATGGTGGTTAAGGATGATGGGAGTTATAGGCAATGCAGCTCAAGTGTGTTGGGTTGGGGAAGGCTGCTTCAGAAATTCTTGCGAATATATACGCAGCCAGCCACCTCTGCCAATTCTGATATTAATGTGTACCCCAGCATATCATACTCAAAACAGTTCTCAATTTCTGTCATAGTCCAAAACCAATCCCCTTCAGTTATATTTACTCCTATTCAAATTAATCATCATGGTATCTTCCAGATCAGGTAAAATAGGCGTATGTCCTGGTTGTCTACCTGTGCCCAAGTTGTAAGTATGCCTTATTGGATTCAGTGGGATAAGTTTTAAGCAAGGCTAGAGTTTGATGAGTTTCATCTTACAGAAACATAGAAACAGAGCGAGTCAGAAGGGGCCTCCCAGGCCATCTAGGCTGACCTCCGGCACCAGCCGACTCCACTCATGACATGCCCACCATGTGCATGTCCAGCCTATCTTTGAACACCCTCACCGATGGGACCTCAACGACCTCGTGGAAGCCCATTCCACACCCTCGGGGTCCTAACTGTCAGGAAGTGCTTCCTGGCATCCAAATGGAGCCTTGGTTCCCTGAGCTTTGCTCCGTTGGAGTGCATCCTGCCTTCCTCTGCAGGAGAGAACAGATCTCTACCCATCTCCATGTGGCATCCCCTCACATACCTGTCTGTCGCCAACATATCCCCTCTGAGTCTTCTCTTCTCCAGGCTGAAGAGACCCAGTTCCCCCAGTCTCGCCTCATACCCCATCCCCTGCAAACTGGCCACTAACCTTGTGGCCCTACGCTGCACTGACTCTAACCTGGCTATATCTTTTCTGCAATGAGGGGCCCAAAACTGAGCACAATACTCCAGTTGCGGGCCCACCAGAGTCAGATAGAGTGGTAGTAATACCTCTTTCGATCTAGAAGCCACACTTCTGGCTATGCAACCAAGGGTGGCGTTCGCCCTCTTGATCACTGCATCTCACTGCTGACTCATGTTTCGCCTGCAGTGAACCAGCATCCCGAGGTCCCTTTCACAAGTGCTGCTCTCCAGCTGCTTGTCACCTAACCTGTACTTATGACACCTATTCCTATGCCCCAAGTGCAAGTCCTTGCACTTATCCACATTGAACGCCACCCTGTTGTCTCCTGCCCACTTCCATAGTCTGTCCGGATCCTTTTGGATCTGGAGTACCTGTTCCTCAGTTGTGGCCACTGCTCCAGTTTTAGTGTCGTCTGTGAATTTGATCAGCAGACTGTTCACCCCTTCTTCCATGCCATTTATGAAAAGATTAAGCAGGATTGGCCCCAGGGCAGAGCCTTGGGGGGGACCCCGCTTGTCACTGGCCGCCATCCCAATGATTCCCCACTAATGGTTACCCTCTGCTTTTGGTCAGTCAACCATGCCCTAATCCACCCAACAGTGCTTTGGTGTATCCCAGAACGCCTCAGTTTCTCCACCATGATATCATGGGGCACTTTGTCAAAGGCCTTGCTGAAATCCAGGTATACCACATCCACTGCATCCCCTCCATCTAGCCATCTTGAAACCTTGTCATAGAATTCCAGAAGGTTTGTCTGGCAGGACCTGTTTTTGTGGAAGCCGTGTTGCGTGGCTGCCAGCCTCCCTTCCCTATCTAGCATCACTAGATCTCTCTCTATTATGAGCCTTTCCATTGTTTTTTCTACAATGGACGTAAGCTTTACAGGACTGTAATTCCCCATGTCCCTTCTACTACCCTCTTTGAACCACTGATGCCACCCTCCAGTCCTCTGGAACTTCACCCGTTCTCCATGAGGCCTCAAAAATGGAGGCCAGCGGGCGTGAGAGAACCCCTGCCAATTCTTGAGTACTTTTGTGTGTAACCCGTCATGGCCTGGGGCCTTTGTAATGTCCAGTGCCCTGAGGAGCCCCTTGACTTCAAGGGGGGGTGACTCTAATCTGTTCCCCTAAGTCCCCAGCCTCATCTCATCTCCTATGCGGATCTCCCCCGTCCTGCTTTGAGGAGAACACAGAGGCAAAATAGTCATTTAGAATCTGTGCCTGTTCCTTTATGATGAATCTTACGATTCATTTCGTGTGAATCTTCTGCCTCTGCATCAACTTGTTATTGTTCAACTGGATGGACTATCTTTCCACTTCTTTATTAGTTGTGTAACCTGCCTTTCCAAGTAAAAAAAGAGCCCCTGCTTTCAGTTAGCCTGACACATGTTCTTCTTTCTCTCTCATGCACATTTATTTAATCTGTTCTTTGGTTAAAAGAATCCCAAATCCCGCAGCAGCTTGCAAGAATCAGTAGCTACATTGTCTCTGCCCTTAGGCTTACAAATCTAAAAAGATGCAGGGAAAGGCTGTGGGAGAGAGGAGGAGAAATGCGAATTCTTGATGCTTAATTCAGTTGTCTGGGTTAATAGGACTATACCTGTTCTGGGGGAAAAAGTACTCAGGTTTGGATGGCAACTGTTGTTCCTCTGGGTTGACATGTTCTTTGCTGAACTCTTCTAAGGCCTATGCCCTAAAGAATAGCTACTGGGAAGACAGGTAGCTTTTCTCCCCTTAGAGATTGAATCATATCAGAAGACAATTTGCATCTGGGCTGTGCAACACACAACCAGGCATGCACAGTTGCCAGATATGCATATGTAGCTCTCCTATGCCTTTAACTGCCTTAATGATCACCAGGGCTAGACAAAGATCGGAGAACATTGTCATCCTTTCTGCTGCCACATGTTAAAAACGGACAACCATGCCACAATGTTTCTTCCATTTAGAGGTCTTGTCCTTTCCTTAATTCTTGCTTTCCACTATCAGAGTTTGCTGGGAGTTTTTGCTTAAAAATGAAAAGGGAGAAGAAAACTCTAGTTCCCACCATACAGTACAATGACTCCAAGCAAAATGGCTTCCTTTGCACAATAATCGTGGAGGGTTTAAAGTGGAGTTATTGTACTCCTCAGCAGGGAGTGATTTAGAGATACTGCCCACCATCTTGTTTCATTTGATCTATTTCTGATGCGGGACATGTGAGAACTGGAGGCCTTCCCATACAGCCCTTGGGTAGTCCAGCAGAAGTTAGACCACTCCGTATTTCCACCTCTGCTATCAAAATTGCTGCTTAACAGCTACTGGGAGCAAAAAGTTTGAAGTAAACTATTTTCTTTAATTGTGGTGATGCATTCTAGGAAGAATACTATATGTGGGGCTGTGGCAACAGTTTTCAGTGCCGCTCTGCTATTCCTAATCCTTCCAGTTAACTGGAAAATAAGAGTCAATGTGGGTCAAGATTTCCAGGTCTGTCCCAGCTTCTCTAAAAGGCAGGGCTGTTTAAACTTGTGTTGCTTACTTGGTTTGTGATTTGGCCTGGGATTACTTGGTCTGGTAGAACCAGTGTGGTATAAATGTAAAAAATAATAATTTGACCTAGTTACTTTAAGGTGCTTTGTTTTTTGCACCAAGCTCCTTTAATGGGATATATGCTTGGAAGAGCTGATAATATGAGTAACAAGTCCTGAATTACTGTTTAGTGCTCCAGAGTTTAGTATGGGAAAAGTAACTTGTCTTTTAAAGAACTCACTTTCCTTGTGATGTTCAGCTTTGTTGGCTGTGAGAGTTCTCAGCTCCCAATTGAAATGCAGCTTTTCCAAGCTGTTAGATCTGTGTTCCTGATCTTGTGGATCCACAGGCTTGGGAGAATTTCATTTCGAGAGCCAATTTCTCCTGTTGCAACTTGACACAGCCCTCTGCTATGACTTCTGACACTGACACATTGAGAAGAACTGCAAAAGAACTGCCAGCTGGGAAATCTCCATTTTCAAGCAGGTAGCTGTAGCCTTAGTCAGTGGATCTGCTAAGACATAAGCTGCAGAAGCTGGGGTTTTTGGTTTTACTCATAAGTATTCCCCAGTGGTATCAAGCTGCTGCAGAATGAGGAGTGATGCACACATATAAGGCAACATTAAGACTGGATTGCTCAAATATAAAATGATCAGTAGTTATTATAATCTTAGTGCAATTATAGATGAAAAGTATTTTTTTTTTCAATAAATGTCTGCTTTTTCTTTCTCTCACAGGACTATTTTTACCCGAAATACTTGGGTGAGTTACAGTTATATCCTTTCAATATTTGGCAATAAAATTTTTTTCTCCCTTTGTAGGAATGCTCATAAGCTATCCAAAGGAGGGCAGCGTAATAGTACACATATCCTTACCTTACTGCAGAACAAATCCTTTTTCTTTTTATAGAAATAGACATACCTTTATTTGCATGAAGTTATAATCACTGGCCATAATTGAAAGAGCTGTGCAAGAATACCTGTCTGCCTAGGCGTTTTTTAAAAGTTTATTCTGCTTTTTATTCTCTTCAAGTGCAGCACATGCGTTCTTGTTCCATCTCCTGCCTCCCTTTGAATATTATAAAACATTTTTGAGAATTACTGAAAACAGTTTGCTAGGTAGAGAACTAACTTCGCTTTCCTGGGGTGAAGCATGGTAAGTAGGAAGGTAAAAGTGCACACGTCACCTCCATGTGTGTTTAACAGGAAGTCATTGAAGTGGAGCTGTTTTGGTCTCTGGCTACTGGACAGGTGCTGCATACATTTTCCAGAGCTGAAAAGTCCAGTCTAAGAGACAATCACATTAAATTTGTGCTGTTCATACATCTCCTGCGTCACAAATTTTAACTCTAGGAAATTTTCCATGGGCATTTCACCCTGCTGGATAAGGATGCCTATATTTTGACATTTAATTTATTTCCTTACGATAGTGTAGCAAAATAAGATAAGGACATAGTCCTTCTAAATCCGATAATTGTACTATTGTATTTGTGTTGGAGGTACACTGAAATTTGGAGGAAACTATTCTTTCTTGGAGACCTTCAGATTTTTTTTTCTAAGCTAGAAAAATCTTTAAAAACAAACAGCTTTTAGTATGTGCAATGTCTGGTAAAATAATTACATTGCGAAGTATCATAAATTGTACAACTAATCTTGGATCAGCAAGGTTTTTTTATTAAATAAAAAATTACAACAATTGCATAAGGTATATTATAACCTGAATAAAACAAGTAAATACACTGAATATAATATCGGGAGGTTAAACTTTAGTTAATTTTGTTACCTGGCTTAATAATGATGTTTATGTTTTATTCTTCAGCATGTATTCACAAGTATGGGTCACCATATATAAGAAGTCCAGATTTCCATACATGCGTGCATAGTAAGCATTTTTTCATATTTCTATATTACCAATAATAGAGATTTTTTTTGTTTTGGTACAGAGATGTAGTCCAGTTCACATCCAGTTCCATGTATTATTGTTCCCCTTGTCTTTCCAGCTTGGGTCAAATTCATTCAATTTAGAAAAACATTGGGAAGGTTTGCATGTAATACTAACTAATGAATCAGCATTATAAGGATAAGATGTTATTTCTGTCTTCTCTGGTACCTTTGTAAGATGGAGATAGGAAGCTTCCACTTCCCTTCCTTTTCACTGTGTACAAACTCTAAAGCAGTTAATCTTAATGATGGTTTGCTGAAACAAGTCAGCTTCCTGAACTGTAGTTTAAAGGTGCCTTGTTTCAACAAACTCATAATTGAGATTAATTACTTGGGTTCAAATAAAATGCTACGCTGTGGCTAATCAAAAGTGAAAGCAAAAGCTTCCAGATTCATTTCTGTGGCCATGCTGGACAGATGGAGAGGGCATGTGAAACCAAGGTTTGCCAAAGCTAGGTCATCTAGCGATTGATTGAGATATTGTGAAGTCATATAACATTCCAGAATGCCTCAGTGATGGGACATTGGGTTCAAGATTGGATTTGAGAGGGGGATCACTCAAATAGTCTGCAAACATCTTTAAAACAATGCAGTGATTATTTGAAGCCAACATGGATTCTACAAGAACAAATCCTGCCAGACTAATTTGATTTCATTTTTTGATTGGGTGTCCTCCCTGGTGGATTGTGGGAATGCTATAGGCATAATTTATCTTGACTTAAGCAAAGCTTTTGCCTTATGATCTCCTGATTAGCAAACTAGCTAAAAGTGGGCTGGATGGAACAATTCTCAGGTGGAACCACAGTTGGCTACAGAATCAGACTCAAAGAGTGCTCATCAATGGCACCTTCTCAAACTGGGGAGAGGTAACAAGTGGGATACCATATGATTCCGTCCTGGGCACAGTGCTCTTCAACATTTTTATGAATGATTTGGATGAGGAAGTGTAGGTAATAATGATCAAATTAGCAGATGATGCAAAACTGGGTGGGATAGCTAATACCCTGGAAGACAGAAACAAGATTCAAGGAGATCTTGATAGGTTGGGGTGCTGGGCTGAAAACAACAGAATGAAATTCAATAGAGACAAATGCCAAGCTCTGAACTTAGGAAAAAAAGAACCAAATGCATTGTTCTAACATGGGGAATACTTGGTTCAACAATACTGCAAGTGGGAAAGATCTTGGAAATGTTTTTAATCACACACTGTATATGAGTCAACAGTGTGATACAGCTACAAAAACGGCAAATTTTGTTTTAGGCTGCATTACTAGAAGTATCACTTTCAAATCTTGTGAAGTACTGACTGGTTCCCCTTTACTCAGCACTGTGTAGACCTCATCTGGAGTACTGTGTCCAGTTCTGGGCACCACAGTTCAAGAAAGATGTAGACAAGCTGAAAAGAGTTCAGAGGAGGGCAACAAGGATGATCCAGGGCTTGGAAACAAAGCCCTGTGAGGAGAGATTGAAAGAATAGGGGATGTTTAGCCTGGAGAAGAGAAGACTGAGGGGAGATATGATAGAACTCTGCAAGTACCTGAAAGTCTGTCACAAAGAGGAAGGATAGGATCTCAGTCGTCCCAGAGTGCAGGACACAGAATAACGATCTCAAGTTCTCGGAAGTCAGGTTCTGGCTGAACATCAGGAAGAACTTCTTGTTAGAACTGTACAACAATGATCTAGGGAAGCTGTGGATTTCCCCACACTAGAGGCACTCAAGATGCAGCTGACCAGCCACCTGAGAGGATTGGTTTAACTGTGTCCTGCACTGAGCGGGGTGGGGGCGGGGGGGTTGGACCCAGTGGCCCTCTGGACCCTTCCAGCTCTGCTCTTCTATGATTCTGTGAAGCTGTTGGATGACATGATGGCAGTGTATTTGGTATCTGTGGAACTGTCAGTTTTAATATGCAACTCCTGCTCAGGGTTTATCATATTATACAAACCCCACAAGTCTGTGTTATGCAAAGGTTACATAATCCTCACATAATTCAGGCTCACCAGGTTCTTATTACACAGCAGTCCCCAAGTGTGGGGTTGGACAAGCTGTCTGATACCCATTAGTACTGGCGCTGATAATCGGGCCATGTTGTTTGAAACTGGTCATTATTGCAGGGAAATGAGGGGAGAAAATGAAATTCAGTAAATTACTGCATGTGTCTGTCTGTCTTCCAAAGCAATTTTTTTTTTCATTAGAAATTAATGCAGTTCTTATTGGCAGTTTGCATCCACAGATTCCCAGTAATAGAGTTGGTGCATCATTTTTACCAAATGGTTTTTCTTCCATAGCACAATTTATGCATTTTGCTGAGAAATACATTTCATTGAGTTCAGCACATAATCCCAAATAAGTGGGGTCAGGATTAAATCTTTGTCCCAGAAATCTCTTCCTGTGGTGGCAGGAAGATCTATGGTTGCTTCTTGCCATTTGAACTCCAACAGCAGAAAGAACAAAAAGAAGTAGGATTTAAAGGAGGATAAAAAGCCTTCCCATGTGTCATGGAACATGGAGAGACATGTCAGTCTTGCTACTGGTGTAGTTTTTTTACCATATGATTAGGAACAGTGGGAGGGGAGAAAATGGCTGACAAAGACCAAGAAATAGAGGGAAAATGTAGCTCCCTCTATTTTACTCTGCCAGAACAAACTTAAAAGGGTTTATGAAAGAGCATTTGGACCACCACTTTTCTTGCTCCTTTTTGTTTGCTCTCTTAACATTTTATTATGATCTGGTCAAACGGACCATGTTATCCTGCCAGATGTAGGGAAATTTTCACTGAAAGTGATGGATGCCTGCACTCTATTAAGTTGCCAAGATCAGGACCCAGTAATATAGTGGCAGAGTGAACAAAAGGTTAACAGATGCGGCAGCTGACTTAATTCTGGGTTTAATAAACAAAACCTCAACAAAAGCTGGCTGTAGACCATTTTTACCTAATAGAGAAGAATTCTCCTTTACAGCTGCTATGTTAATAGGACTAAGTTGCTTGTTCAGCTGAAATATTAAAAAGCTCTCGTTGCAGGTTTTTGTGGGCACCAGGCTACCTATGGGGGTTATTTCCCTGTAATGTGTTTAGTATCTGCAACAACTACTGTAGCTTTTCTTCCTTGTCATTGCTGTCACCCTATCCAACAGCATGGATTAGCTTCAGCATGGATAAGACATGTGAGCAAGTCAGAAGGTGGCAGTGGCTACAGATGTTCACCACCTAAAACCAGTAAGTGGTTGATTGGCTTCAGAGCGGATCAAGTAAGATTGGTGTGAGCTCGGAAGGCCAATGAGGTAAGGCATGGGTCCTCAAACTACAGCCCGCGGGACGGATCCGGCCCGCGCTGCCCCCCGCGCACGTGCGCTCACCAGTGGCTTGCTCGCTTGGAGATGGTTTTCAACTTTCAACTGGCCCCCTGTTGAAAAAGTTTGAGGACCCCTGAGGTAAGGTGATAAGCAGTGCCTTCCACAGTCAACATGTTACACTCTGTTTTTCCTTCATTCCTTGCTAGGACACCACCTCTTTAGCCTGGGACACATATCTACAAGGCCAAAGTTTGTAGATATGTCTCCCAGGCATTTTCTAGTCTTGTTAGTGGAACCCCAGTGGTCCTTGGTTCCATCTGGATGGCTAACCTGATGACCATTGAAACCAAGCTTGACTGATGCTGGTTTTACAGTACTGATTTTTACTTGCATTTGTCATACAAACATGGTGCTATAAAATGGTTGGGATTGCAAACCATAATGGTTGGCCATCATCCTGGTCAGCCTTCAAGAAAACTTAATTGTTCCAGGACACACGAAACATGGTTATTCAATGGGAATGATAAGCAAATCCAAACTTTGTGCAAGGGAAAGCCAAATTCAGAGTGACCTTTTTGTGGTCATGCGAATCCATTCTGAATTGCAGCTTGATCCCAAAGGCATTATTAGAAAGCAAGTCTTAATTATTTGTTAGTTTTAATGCTGATAATCAGTTTGGTACAGGGTTCCAGGATGTTAGAAGTCAGACACTGTAATTGTTTAGATTGTTATATTTCAGGTGGGAGATATACAGCATAGCTAAGCAAAAAGCATTCAGATTTGAAATGGAAAATATATCAAGTTGTGCACTGTTTTACAACTTAGAGCAGTGGTGGCGAACCTATGGCACGTGTGCCACAGCGGGCACACAGAGGCCTCTCTGTCAGCATGTGAGTCAAGTCACCCCACCATCGCCCCAGTAGCCAAGCATTGGATAACAGCGCACATGGGGCCATGCGCATGCTCGTAAAGAAGTAGCGGTGCGAGGTGATGACGTCACGAGCTGCAACTCATTAGCCGCGACTTGTCCAAGCTTTCGCATGACAGATCAGTGAGCTGCCAAGGATGTATATATGTACTTGCTTGGACTGGCAGTGAGGTGTTTTTTCTAAACTAAAACATCAGTTTTCAGGTTTTATTGTGCTCAGAATGGGCAGAAATGATGAGCTGTGCAGAAAAAGCTACTCAATGCTTTTTCAAATTCACCCTCTTTTCAATGGACCTTTCACCCTGTATTAGATTTAGGGGTGTGCCCCAGGGTAGGGGTAGGGTTAGAAAAATGAGGTGTCCTGGCATAATTTTGGTGGTTAGAATGTGTTTAGAATGGTTAGAAATGTTGAGCTGTGCAGAAAAAGCTTCTCAATGAAGGCTTTTTCAAAATTGCCCTCTTTTATAGGGTGTTGTAGCCCTATATTAGGGTTAGGGCTGTGTACCAGGGCACAGTTAGGGTTAGAAAAACGAGGTGTCCTGGCATGATTTTGATTGTTGGAATGTGTTTAGAATGAGCAGAAAAGATTTGCAGTGCAGAAGAAGCTACTCAAGGAAGGCTGTTTCAGAATTGTTCTCTTTTCAGTGGAACTGTACCCTTATATCAAGGTTAGGGGATTGCACCAGGGTACGGTCAGGGCAGTGCTGGTGAACCTGTGGCCCGCTTGCCACAGTGGGCGCGCAGAGCTCTCTTTCTCTGCACGCCATCAAAGTCACTCCAGCATTGCCCCAGGAGACGAGTATCGGATTATGGTGCACATAGGGACCATGCGCATGCTCGGAAAAGAGGAGTGGCACTAGGTGATGACATCACAAGCCGCGACACATTAGCTGTGACTCATCTGAGCTTTCGCATGGCCGGTCAGTGTGCTGCCAAGGATATATATATATTTGCTTGGTTTTGGTGTGAGTTGTTTTTTTCTAAACGAAAACCTCTCTTTTCAGATTTCATTGTAGTGTTGGCACGTTGCGATAAATAAATGGGTTTTGGATTGCAGTTTGGGCATTCAGTCTCTAAAAGGTTCACCATCACTCACTTAGAGTATTTTAGAGCAGATGCTGGGACTGTAATCTTAAATGCTGCATAGGATTGTAATCTTACAGATACAAAGGAGCAGTCTTTTTTAAATACACTGAATGAATTGCTTGACAGGCTTGCAGTAAGACATTAGTGTGAGGTATTAGTAGTAATTCCACCACTACCAATTAAAAAAGAAAGGAAGGAGTGAGCATGCATTGTATCCAGAGCACCATAGGAAGCATCCTTTGGAAGGATAGCAAAATGACAAGATGGTTAGATATGAACATTCTGCGATACTTCAGTATTTTAATTGTTTATGTTCATAATGTGTTTATTCGGAGAATGATGCTATAGGAAGAGACTTGAAATGTTGCTAAGAAAGAAAGTGATGACTTAACTGGGTAAAGTGTAGTTTAAAGAATAAAACATCTTTAAAAGATATGTGCCAGAGAAGGAGGTATGCATTTGCATAGCAATTGTCTTGAGTGTTCCAAATGCTTCATGTGTATTAATCTCAGGAATCCTTGACTTCTGTTTGTAAAATTGGTACATAGAGCCATGGACCCACTAGGCTGCCTTCAGCAAAATGCTGTCCCTCAGTCAGAGGCTCAACACAGAACCTCATACTTAGGACAGAGAAAGAACAGCTTGTGCAAGGCAACCTAAGTGACGTTGTGGGTGACTTGGGGCTTGCACTAGAAATCTGTCCGTGTTTAGAGTTCAAGCTTCAAGCTTCCTTAAGCTTCCTTAGCCTTTACATTATATCAGGAAATGTTACACGCCAGTAAGAGACAAACTGGAGGGGCTTTCTGGACATCACAGTAATGGGAAGATAAAAAATAACCTGGAAACACTTAATGTCTGTGTATTTCATGGCAAGTTTCATGCCTTGAAATGAATTCTGGAAGGTCACATGTATTATTGGTCAAGAGGAAAAATCACAGTTCTTCACTATATTGATGGTATACGATAATGACTATATAACATATAACTTCTGTCCTCTTGTTTCTTTTGGGATATCCGCTTTACACAGATTTTGGGTGGCTAGAAGTTCACTGTTGCAAATGGACAGAGTGCAGTATAGCACTATTACAATAAATGTTGCTTTTGACAAGGTACAGGCAGTGATTTAGCTTAATTTACTTTCACTATAGCTGAAGCTTCTTTGGAGTTTGTTTGCTTGTTTTGGTCTGTTTAGAATCTGTGTAGTTTTGTCATAATGGCTATTTTAAATGTGACCATTTGATCTCAAGTGATTTAGACACACAGGCATTGTTAGCAGAATAACTTCTGAAAATTGTGTACATCGTGTTATATAATTATATTTCTGTCTGTCTGCATTTTGTTGGTACAAGTGTGTTGTATTGCAATACAGACCTGTAGCTGCGACATTGTATTTTACCAATAGAGAGAGAAAGAGTTCAGATACCAATTTTAGGATTTCAGGGATATGTGGAGAATACAGGCTGCATGCTCTTCATTTCTGCTTTAAATCAACAACTCAGGCAGAATTCTGTGGCATGTGAAACTAGAAACTCTGGGCTGTTTAACAATTAAACAATGAAACTGCAACCTTCCATGTTAGATGTTCTTCATTGCTATGAATGGAGTTTAGTTGAGCTGGGAAGAAATATTTATGTGCTTACAAGAGTAGGCTGTAAGATTTTTGCTGATCTCATAGCTATGGTGCAGGCTGCATAGTTTACTAAATGTATATTGCCTTTGCCACAACTGTATCACAGATGTTGGAAGCGCCAGGCTGGATCTGTTTCAGAGGAAGTAGAGCTTTGGGGTACTCATAGTGGAATTTGGGGTGGGGCTTCAAGGTACCAGCCTGCTTACAGGTTGCTGTGCTTGCTACTCACACACAGATCATGTTATGAGTCCAGGTCCATTCTGGGCCTGAGATGCTTGCAACTCCGAATTTCATTTTATCATGCAGGCAGGGTGGAGAATCACCAAGTAGTTTGGCTGTCCAGTGACCTGTAGCATGCCAAACTCTCCTAGCTGTAGCCAGGAGATGTTATATCCATCTATACCCTACTCCTGTGTGCACAAAGGTATTGCTTCCTCCCAGATCTGGATTGGTATGGCCAGCATAAACAGCATGAGCATAAAAAGGAAGTGTTTTGTTTTTTGACTGCCCTTCTTTATTTTCCTTTCTCTTTTTTTATACAGCCTGCCAGCTCTGCAGAGTTGTTTTCCCCTGACCTGAGCTTGAAGCAGAGTTCTCCATACTCATAAGAGATTCAGTTTCAGCTATTTTCCTTCTGTGCTGCCTTGAGCATTCCCCCCACTCAAGTTCTTGTTCATTGCTATACACCAGAATTTGGGAGTGCAAAATATGCTGTTTTGTTTGTGGGTGACATGTTCTGCTTTTGCCTTTCAGTGACTTTTCACTGAACAGGGTTAGTTTAGATACACTCAAATAGTAGAACTTCTGAGTTTCAAGGTAAAAATATTACAGTTATGTCTGATTTTGGCAGAACATAGAAACATGCAACAGTCCTAGAGGAGATCAACCCTGACTGCTCTTTAGAAGGCCAGATACTGAAGATGAAATTCAAATACATTGGCCACCTAATGAGAAGAAAGGACTCCCTGGAGAAGAGCCTAATGCTGGGAACAATAGATGGCAAAAGAAGAAGGGGACGGCAGAGGATGAGGTGGCTAGATGGAGTCACTGAAGCAGTTGATGTGAGCTTGAGTGAACTCCGGGGGATGGTGGAGGACAGGAAGGCCTGGAGGAATGTTGTCCATGGGGTTGCGATGGGTCGGACACAACTTTGCAACTAACAACAACAAGAAACATGCCAGTCCTTAAGAATCCAGATTCCTTCCTGCCTTTCTAACATCAGAATGTTGTGATACAATTCAAGATAAGCTCTTATCGCCACATGAGGGTTTTTGAAGTACTTTCTGGGTAGATATAAGGTATAAGGTGTTCTTCTAATTCAGGTACAACCTCTACCATGGTTTGAAACAAAGTGGAACTGAAAACAGAAATGGTCTTGTTCATTATACTTCTGACAGTAACCATCTGGGTATGGAAGGTTTTTTTTTTTTATTTTATCTTCTGTGGAAAATTCATTCTTGTGCTTAAAACCATGCCCTTGCCATTAAAAAGGTGCAGAAAAACTTGACAGTATTATATGATGACTTGTCTTCCCTTTGATGTGTGCTATTTATAGAAAGTAATGGAAGGTAAGGCAGAGCAAGGGTACAGCATCTCTTTTAGCCCACAAGCCAAATTCCATGTTGGAGAAGCTTTTAGGGGGCATATTCCAGTAGTGGATGAGCTGAAGGCAAAATTGGTAGGACCAACATTAAAAAAATGTGTCAGCCAATTGTAGGTTAAAGCTCTTACTGCGTGTAACTAAGCCTTGTAAAATGCAGGCTTTTAGAATGAGGAAAACACTGCTAAAAATTTGGGGAACTACCTAAGAATCAGCAGTTTAGGGAAATGGATGGACTAGAGAAGGAGTGATCTAGGGGACACTGGGAAAACTGTTGAGACCCCAGGAGAGCCAGTTTTGGGCCCTGGGCTTGAGGTTCTGAACCTTTGTGCACGAGATCATTTACCTCCTTAGCAGACTGCCCAAGTTGACAACCACAGATTTGCCAAGCCAAATAATTACCAGTGTGGAAGACAAGGAGCTCATTTTTCAGCTATTGTGGCTTTCTTCTTCTTTGTTTTCTGTCTTTCCCTTTCTTTAGCAAGTTGTTGTTTCCCTTTCTTCTGCCTTAACTTACCATGTGACTGGAGTTGCATGCTGGTTCATTGTTTAAGCATGGTTACATTGGAGGAAAATATGGGAGATGAGAGATAGATTGGCCAGTGGGGAGAGAGGTTGGTGAAGTGCGTGGGACCGCTAGTAACTGTTGTACACCTGTATACATGTTGGTCTATATTCCTGGAGAAGAGGTGGTTCTGTGCATCTGGACAATACTTCGAGATATTTGTGAGGCATTGTATGCATATAGATTTTTGGGCTTGTTTGTACCTCTATGAAAATAGAATGGCCAATAAAGCTTGTGTCAGCATTTGCCCTGTGTCTGACATCTAGCTAGCATTTTTATGTGTAGCTTCAACACATCGAGCACTCTCCCCGACACACACACACACAGAGCACTGATTTAGAAGGTGTTAGGTAACTTAACTGTATAGTATCCACTTGCTGCTAATGTGCCAAAGCTTTTTTGCTTTGCTGTGCAAGAAAGAATTGTGATCCGTTCTCCAAGTCAGAATTAGATGGTGAGTTGAGAAGTACTTTCTATGGGGTGGGGCAGGGTTGAAGGAGTGCACCAGGTCAAATATTTGTTTAGTTTGGCAAGTGTATACTTTCTCTGCAATAGAACATTTTTAAAGAAAACAACACAGTATGGTAATGTAGTGCTACTATCTGTCTTCCATCTAGTTGTATGGTACATGTGAATAATAGCTTTTCCTCCTCAGAGGTAGCTTGAATGGTAAAAGTAACACTGTTTTAAGCTTCTTGATTCAAGGATGTGATGTTTTCCTTTCCTTTCACAGACTTGCCAGATCAGTGTTCTCCTAACCCATGTTATAAGGATGGTACTAAAGTATGTGAAGACTTGAAAGGTAGCTATTTTTGCCATTGCAGAAAAGGCTGGCAAGGAGAAAGATGTGAGAACGGTAAATCTACTTCTTTGCTGCTCATGGTTCTGTCTTCCCTGTACTGAGATAGGAAATGGTTAGAGTGCATGTTCTGAATATGAAATGCCCCGGGTTGAACGCATGGCTTTTCCAGACAGGGATAGGATATGCACCGTATAAGTTGTCTTTCTACAAAGACAGCAGGACTAGAAGGCTGTGCTGAAAATGACTTAGTGTATACATTTGTCTCACTTTATTTAAAAACAGGTTGTATTTCTTATATATTATTTAAACTTTTTAACAGGCTTGACACATGTTATAATCTGATTTGCTTTATTTATTTATTTAGTATATTTCTAGGCCATCACTTTCATCTCTGGATGGCTTACAATAAAATATAATAGTATCTTTATTAGTTATTTTGAGTTCTGTTAAGATATAATTTCTTAGATTTAGGGGGAATTGGCCCACATTTAACGCTTGTCTCTCTTCTCTGCTATGTAATTGATGCAGTCTGAGATATGGCTTGTGTAAAAAGAAAATGCTACCAAACTACCTAAGAATGAGGGCAGACTTAATTTGGATACGTGTTTTGAATTCATGATATTAAACATTTGCTTGGTAAGTGTGGACAGTGAAAGAGAGAGCAAGAGATGCCAAGAAAGATCACCTTGAGTTAGTTACTTTCTTCCTGACCTGATGATACTTCGAAAACTCAAATAACACTTACCTATTTCCAGATATTAATGAATGTGCTGATCAGAATGGTGGCTGTAAACAGGCATGTTACAACAAGCTGGGCAGCTATCATTGTGCTTGTTATAGTGGCTACGCTCTTATGGATGACAATAAAACATGTGAAGGTAAGATATGCGGCAACTTCAGGTAACATTAACTCATGGTTTGATATTACAAGAACAAGCTTGTGTGGACATTCCCTTCCTTTGTTTCTGGTTTCAGGCCAATTCCTCGTTTGCTAGTTCAAACAAAATGGTAAACCATGGGTTGTGTCAACTAGGAAGGAGGAAGGAAAGGGCATAATCTCACTGCATGCCACCCAAAGAGCTTTCACAAATGCTACTGCATATACTCTACTGGAAAGGGTTGAACGCTGCAATGTAATGAGGCAATGGAATAATGAGGCCTCTAAGATTTGACGTCCTTCTTAGGGAGCCCTCTTTGCAGGAGATCAGAAGAGTGGCTACCTGGAGAAGGGCCTTCTCTGTGGTGGCACCCTGCTATGGAATGGGCTCTCCAGAGAAGTGTGCCTGGCACCGACACTTTTTTCATTTTGGCACCAGGCCAAAACCTCCCCCCCCCCATTATTTTAAATGTTAGTACTGTTTTTTAGGATTGATCTTATGCATTATTATCTAGATGCTGTATCTTATTTATTTTATTGCCACCCTGAGACACTGGGCAGGATACAAAAGCTTTAAACAAACAAACAAACCATGCTGTGGTTTTAAGACAGCGTATTACTATACATAGTTAGTCTTATAACTCAGTTGTAGCAAAGACAGAAAGAAAAAGCCGGCATCTTGACAAACTAGCACATTTATGGTTCAAAAGCTGTTATAGGTAAACTCAGTCGCATCTGATAAACAGAGTTCTACGCTATGGAAGACCTGTGACGATGGCAACAGCAGCAGCAGTGTCTATATTAGTCTTGAAAATGCCTTAGGACACTTATTTTTTCACAATTGTGGTTCAGGTTTTTAGGACGAAAAGCCAAGAATGCCTACCAAGGCATGTCTGTAGTCACACCACAAGAACTATCCTGCACATAGCAAAGTGGTGATTCACAAAGGGTTTGCATGATGGATTGTGCCAAAGCGCTGCAGCCATCCAGCTCCAACTTGACAGTGAAAAGCACTACCCAAGAAAGTAGAATATAGTGTGTCATAGACTTGCTTATTTTGCAAACATGGCATTGAGTGATACTGGAAAATGTGTGGCTCTTTTAACATCCTGGAAGCATTGGATCATTTTAAAAATTAAATATTCAAGAAGTGTTCTGCTTACATGGATAGATAGTTATAATTATTTCAGTTTACAGGCCCAAAGTTTTTGCAGTGACTTCAGCCATTTAATAGCACTTATATTTGCCTGGAGTTAGAGAGCCACTTCCTGCTAGGTTTTCTAGGAACCTTGAAGTTAGGTGAGGTTGAATAGAATTTTGACAACTTTTTGATGGTCACTACACTAAAATGGAGGATGCTGCGGTGTGGAAAATTTATGTATCACACTTGAATCTTGACATACATGTAAGGAATTCTCACTTACTCTTTTCACTTTGTGCTCTAAATTTAGGCTGAAAAATACTGCCTGCTCCAAGTCATCTAGTCCACAAGGTTGCTGTATGAAACAAGTGGTCCAAGTACAGAAACAAATTACATTATGCATCTGCACATGATCCCTGTATATCATTCTGGCAAGGAAACCACATACAGAATGTGGGAATTCATCCCTGCCTTGCCGCATTCATGCTGTAGCTAG